ATGGGGGTGACGCTGCCATTACCCACGGTCCGTACCTTCACCCACAGCCCCCAAAACCCACCCTGCTGCCTTCCCCCACCCCACCAAACAGCTCTGCACCCCCACGGCGCAGCCTCGTCCCTGCCCGCCCCGAACGCAGGGAGACTCCCAGTTTAATGCTGCAGGGCTGCTCCAGCCCCAGCAGAGGACAGGACCTTGAGGGGACGAGCCACCTGCAGAAAGCACATGCTGCGGCTGCAAAGCAGCCCCCGGAGTTGAAGCACGATGGAGGACACTGAGGGGCAGTGACCCACCATCCCAAACGGCCTCCCCCCTGCACAGGGACAGCCAGCAACAGCATCCAGCACAGACTCTGACACAGTTTGGTGGTGTTCAGGGTAGCTTTTATTCCCAGCAAGTGAGTTGCACCTTCTCAAGCAGCTCAGGGAAAACCCTCATTCCCAAAGTTCATCTGCAAACTGGGGGATCAGGACACCTCCCAAGGCAAAAATACCCGCCATGGACCCTGGGCTATCAGTGGCACCTTCATGGGACACAGGAGCTGTGGTGCCACCAGGTGAAGCCCAAACAGGCAGCGGCACTGGAGGGGACAGTGAAATCCAGCCCAGGAGAAGGCTCTGCAGCACAGGAACGAAACCCCAGCACTGCTCCAACAGGAACGTGGCAGGCCGCTGCCCGCTCTCAGCCTGCCTTCTCGTATCAGCTGATGAAAAGCACACTCAGGCAAACAAGTGCTTCCCGTGCACTCCAAGTGCTCCAGATAAGTGACTTACCAAAAACAAGACACAGTATTTATAGCCTGGGCCTGATGTCGCTCCCCAGGATGCAAACAGGAGCCCAGCCGCCAGCCTCCCAACACAGCAGTGCAGGACTGAGCACACCGGCTCGGGATGCTCTCCTGCCGGCTTCCCGGCCGGACCTTTGGATACCTTCCCAACCAGATACAAACACACACCACAGCCAAGGCTGCTTCACCAAGAGCTGGAGCAGCAGCCCAGGAAGAGGAATGCAGTTGAAGGCCGAAGGCAATGCAGATGGGTTGGCAAGAGGATGACGTTCCAAATTCCAGCAGAGTGGAAAATAAGATAACCTCCGAGCAGGACGCTGGCCAAACCATGTCCGGCTGGACCAGCGACAAGAAGTGTGTGCCCAGATTCCCACTTTCAGAAATTCTGGCCCGAGACTGGCACCTCAGTGTACACTGAAGCACCTCTCTCACCCACCCAGGCACTTACAGCTCCCACTGATTAACATGCCCTAAATAAACTGCACTCTGTGCCATCTCTGGGTCTAAATACAGACCAGCGTCAAACTGCAGCCACCTGTATTTAAAACCCACACTTCAATTTTACGCATTTCTTGCCAGGGGTGCTGGTGTGGTCTGAGCACCTCATTCTACACGGGAAGTACACGGACACAGGAATTGCCGGGGGGAGTAAAGTTTCAGGTAAGTTTGTTTCAGTTAGGTGAGTTCTGGAGCAGAGATGTGGATGGAGGCACATGGGAGGAGCCCACGTGCCCAGAAACACAGACTCTGCACATATCCCAGCTGACATCCAGCATCATCCAGACACAGGTCTGAACCCCAGGGTCTGGAGGGGATAGGTCGCTTCGCTGCCCTCAGCACCAGTCAAGATGTCCTTGTGCCTTCAGCTATGCTTCATTTCAGCAAGTGACTCAGCTGGTCCTGTAGGTTTGATGACTGCTCGACGCTGGGGACGAAGCAAGAAGAGGTTCACAGTGAGATCTGCTCCCCAGACTGCGCTGTGCTGGCTGCACCCAAGGGACCAGCTCTAGCGCTGACACTACAGCAAAGACAAACCCTGGGGTTCCCAACCCACCTCCATGTCCCCACAAGGCAAACCTCATTTTCTGCACCCATAAAGCAGGCAGCTCTGCTCTACACCACCCTCATCTCCTATCACAAACAACATTATGGGATCGATCACATTAATGAAACAAATGGAAGTTTTTGTATAAATCATCCCTTCACTCGAACCCCCATCTCTTCACAACACTGAAACACTATCTCACTGGGCCAGCATCTGCTTCAAAGGCAGCTCCAAAAAGCTTTCCACCCTGTTTTCCCCTACCCTACTCCATCACTTTTCCCTTTCCATCAACCCCCACATGTGTTCCCCAGGTCCTCTTGGCATTCCTTCAGCTGAGTACTCACTTCTTCTGAATTGCTTCTTGCCTAGATGAGAAAAGGAGACAAAAAGAGCATTAGAAAAGCAAAATCTCAGCAGCAGGGTTTATGTTATGCTGAAGAAAAGGGACTTGATCAAGGGCTCAGGAGACCAAAACCCCAGTCTGTTTCTGTATTAAGTCCTGAGAGGACAGCAGCGGCACTGGCTTCTCCCCCTTAGCCCTGGATGCATCACACACTCTCACAGGAGACACAGTGCGTGGCGAATAGGAGGCAAAAATCTCAGGTCCCACCCCAAAACAGCCTAAACTCCAGTGGAGCTGAAGAGGGGGAGAAGATCCCAGCTCCAGGGTCTGCTCAGCTTTGAGGAGCTGGGCAAGAGGGATCGGTCTGAGTGGGCTTTATGCAAAGTCTTTAAGTAGACCAAAAGAGATTGAGGGATCCACTCAGCTCCCCAGAGGTGTCCCCTACTTACTGGTACTGCAGATGAGTGGTTATTATGGCCATTTTCCTTAAACTCTGTGGAGAACAAGACAAAGAATGAATGTCTGACGGGAGTAGTTCAGCAGAATCACAGGGCAAGCTGTCCCAATGCCCCAGCAAGTTCCTCCACCATGGCCATCGCTGTACCACTGCGCTGCCTCCGAAACACCCATACTGGTATCTGTCAGCTGTGGCACACTGCCCTCTTTTTTCCCCCAATGACAGCCACAGACACTAAGTGCTTTGTTTCAACTTATGGTCCCTCCAGCTTTCCCGTGGAGATGGCACAGCTTAAGGGCTGGCTTGGGCTGCAGGAGGCTGGAAGGCCAGCAACACATGCAGGTTTGAAGATGCGCTAAATTATTGCCACCACCACCACTGCTGCCTGAACGCACGTACTTCATTGCAGGGCTCCAGTACCGTGCCTGCATATCTGTTCTTATAACCCTCCTCTCCTCCTGTCCACTAGAAACACTGTTGGTCTAGCACATAAACACAGCTTACATCTTCCGAGTGCAGGATGGCATCTTCTTGCATCACCATGTTTCTAGCAGCTTGACCTAGGAGCTAAAAGACAAATACACACACAAAACTGAGAGACGGCAGCTCTGTGCTCCCCAGGACACTCGTGACGGCCGCTCAGCAGACCTGCACGCAAGGCTGACAGTCTGGGGGGCCCCCGGGGGACATGGCAGGAGGCTTGTGGGGAGTATGGCGGTGCCATGCCCACCCCTTAGCGTCCACGGGCTTCGGGACAGCCTGAGGCACCGCTCCGGCCTGTCACCCGGGAGAGACGACTCGAGGCAAAGGCCACCTCCCGCCTCCCACCACCTCCCCAGCGCTGTCAGCGACACCCGCGGCCCAAGAGCCCTACGGCGGTGCCCCGCCGACCCAGCCATGCCCGCAGCCCGGGCCCCGCTGCACCCGCCCCCTGCCCAGACCCAGCGATGTCCCCCGGTCTCCCGTACCCCCCCCCGGGACTACAGCGCCCAGCATGCCCCGCGCCGGCCGCTCCCGCTCCGCCGCCGGCGGGGCTCGGCCCGGCCGCAACACCCTTTAATCGGCCGTACGGCGGCGCCCGCCGCTCACCTCAGCGCTGCGGGAGCCCTTCAGCACCTGCTTGGTGAGGGCGATCACGTCGGTGCCGCAGCTCGTCACCTTCTCGGTCAGCAGCCCCTTCCCCGAGTGCCCGAAGCGCGCCTGGGCGTCCGCCGCGCCCCCCGCCGCCATCTTGCCCTCCCTGCGCCCCGCCTCGCCCCGCCGGGCGCTGCTACGGCGAGCGCGGAGGGCCAGAAGGGCCGGGAAGGCGCAGGTCCCGCGGAGAGCGGTGGCCCCGCCGCGGAGGGGCTGCCTCTGCCCGGGGCCGACTCCCTCGGGGCTCTTGTCCCCGCCATGGTCTCCCCCAGGACACCTCCGACCCGGACATGACCCCTGGTACGGACAACCCGAGTCTGCCCAGCACTGCCCAGTGCTGCCCGGGGCTGCCCAGTGCTGACCAGCGCTGACCAGCACTACCCAGGGCTGACCAGGGCTGCACAAGGCTTCTCAGTACTGACCATTGCATGCCCAGCGCTGACCAGAGCTGACCAGTGCCCACCAGCCCGGATCAGGGCTGCCCAGCACTGCCCAGGGCTGACGATCAGGGCTGACCAGGGCTTCTCAGCATTCCCAGTGCTTGCCCAGTGCTTGCCCAGCACTGCCTAGTGCTGACCAGGGCTTCTCAGCATTCCCAGTGCATGCCCAGCGCTCCCAGTGCTGTGCTGCCCATCCCCTCCCGGGCACATCGAGGGGCTCCCATCGACGGACCCCAGTGCCCCCCACCAGTCTCCAGCTGTGCTTATGGCACCCAGGGGACACCCCAAGTTCTCAGCTGCCCCCGTGCCCCTGGGAGTGGAGTCCTGAGGATAGATCCAGCCCTGGGCATCCCCTGGCCCGCAGCCTGCTGGATGCAGCTCCCCCCACGGCCACCCAGTGCGGCCATGGCCCTGCTGCCCTTGCCCCC